TGATTGAATATAATTCACACATTTTATTCTCTGGAGCCAGCAGTTAGCTGGAGTTTGGTGGAAAAGATTAATTACCTTTTCTGTTTTCCTAGGCCAATGGTTCTTAAAAGTGTGGTCCCAAAACCAGCAGCAAGAAATCAGCACCACCCGGGAACTGTTAGAAATGCAGATTCTCAGGCCTCGCCCCAGAGCAACTGAGTCAGAACCTGGGGGGGGGGGTGGGGGTGGGTAGTACCCAGCGATCTGTGTTCTAGCAGATTCTCCAGGTGACTGTGAACCTTGAGAACCACTGCCCCAGTTCACGGATGCTGGGCCCGGGTCTGACTGATGAACTCTGCGCCCCCCAGCCCTAGAACAATGCCTGGCACATAGTAGACAGGAAATATTTGTTGAATGAGTTAATCTGTCTCCTCTTTCTTCGAAAGGTGCTCACCCCCTGCCATACACACTGAAGGCACTGGGTATACAACTGTCAAGGAAGGGAGTGAGTGCCATTAAGAGGGCCAGAGGGAGGCCTCTTGTGCTCTGCACTGCAGACGTTGCCAAATTTAGAATCCCAGCTCACCCATCCCTTCTTCCTGTGGCCTCCGGAGCAAGAGGGGAGATTTCCAGCTGCTGCTAGATGCTAATTCGTTTTCATTTGACCCTTCAGTTCCTGCAAGTGAAGCCAGGGGAGAGGGTGATGAGAGGCAGGCTTGCTTCACGCACAGACCAGGGAGGAGAGCAGGAGAGAAGTGGTAGAGGTGGAGCCAGGCCAGCAGCGGCACTGGCGCCCAAGGCGGCTGGAAGGGGCAGGTTCTTGCTGCTCATAGACAGGCTCCTTGTTTCTATGCCAAGTATTGCTCTTGGCCCAAGAGGCTCCCAGCACAAGAGGGACTTTCTGGGGCTCTCAGCCTTGCTATTTTTACACTCCGACTTCCAGGCCCTGCTTCTGGAACAAAACTGCAAATGACAACGTGGGCCACAGAGCCACTTAGAAAGGATATCTATAGCTTTCTGCTCTTACCACTGAACCGTGTCCCGCTTCCCTCTTCTCCTTGAAGGCGCCTTCAGCAAGATGCAGTGATGCCGTGACGACATGACAGGAGACCGTAAAGCTTCTTAGCTGTGAGATCCTGTAGGGAAGGGAGGAGGGAGAAATAGGTGGGATCTCAGTCTCTGCTGTGTGCCTGGGTGTGGAATATGATCCTCAGGTTTCCAGTGGGAGAGGCTGCAGATCCATGGACCCGCTGAAGTGGCTGCCTGGGTTTACTGGATGCAGAATTAGGGAGGGAGACACGGAAGGGAGGACCCTACGCAATGCCTATATTGGAAGTGTCCTTGCATGGATGTACCTAGTCTCCAGGGCAAGTCTTGGTGCCCTCATTCACCAACTCTGTAACCTTGGTCAGGTCAGCTGGCCGGTCTCAATAGCTTCAGACTTGAAGACATTGTGTCCTTTCTTATGTGTCCCCCCACTGCCCCCGCCCCGTTTATACACCTTCTAAATTCCCCCAAGCTGACCACAACTGATTTTTCTCAGATCTCTGAAAAAGTAACATCCATTTCTACATGGGGACATAGTTTACCCCCTTGGCTTTAAACCAAACTGCCGTCCTCTCCGAGCCTTAGAAATGGGATAACCATAGTGTGTCCTTCATAGGGCAGCAGTGGACACTCCACGAGCTCCTGCAATAAAGAAGCAATAAAGCAGCTGGGTATTTCAGCCCACAGCCCACATCAGCATCCCCGTTACTTTTACTGTTAGTAACAGCACAGTTGTTACTGGCTGCTGAGAACCTCATGGCAGCATTAAGAGAACTTGGGTTTAAGCCTTGAAAGGCCCAGCTTCTTGTCTTGGCTGGCTATTATTCCCACTCTTACCTTCTGGTGGGATTGATGTGAGCATTCAACTAATCCCTGTTTTCAAGGAAAATCATGCATACAAGACCAATATTTAAAACAGGTAAAAATGTTGCTGCAACAGTCAAAAGACTCTGGACAGGCCTGGAGTTCCACCTACCTGCACCACTGTCCTCCTCCCCCATTTGATAACATTTGAAAACCACTGACCTGTTGAATAAGGTCCAGGGTACTTATTTAAATGTGTACATAGTTCTATGTAAGAAAACAAAGCACATTGGGGCTTTGAAGATTAAACAAAATGAAGTGTAATGGCACTGAGGTACCTCAGAAGGCATATTTCTTGCTGTTCCTGTGGAACCTATCAATAAAAAAATGAAACAAAATCTCCACTCCAGCCCAGGACTCTTTCCGGTTTATCATATTGTATTTCTTTTTGTCCATAACAACATTCACACATGCCTTCAAGGGAAGTAGACGTGCTCTTAACTAGAAGCCAGTATTCCCGAGCCTTGTGAAGTTGCTCTGTTTTATGAAATTACACAGAACGGATTTCTTCAGAATTCTTCTTTGCTAAGCGCCAAGTTCAATTCCCATCATTCAGGACTTCATTCACTTATTTCTCCCTCCTCCTTTGTGCATTCTTCCTTCTTATCTTCCTTTCTTCTGTCTACCCTTCTGTCTACCCATCCATCCACCATCTATCCTCCATTCATCCAGCTCATAGTAATTGAACACCTGCCATGCTAGGTGTTGGAAATATGATGGTGAATATGACAGAGATAGTATCTGCTTGCCCTCACGGGGCTTACATTCCTTACAACCAGGGTAGGGTGATGCGGAAGGGATTCTATAAATGATTCTGAACTGCTGATAATATTGTAGATGTGCCCACCTCACTTCCTTCATCGTCATCATCTGATCATCACCAATTTTTAGCAACAGAATAACCCCCCTTGTCATTTTTATTCCAACAAAATCTCACCAGAAATTCAAAATATAAACCAAATATAAGTGAATGGGTCTGGTTGAAACAGAACAGACCACTTTCTGCCATGCAGCCCAAGGCCCCTCTCAACCACTCTGGAAAGCCACACCTGAAGACTGCTGACCTTGGTCTCTGCCCTTGGCCTGATGTGATTTTATATTCTCATAGTGTTATGTGGCTATTCTTCGTATATGCTAATGTCTCAGCTGTGGAGACAACGGGAATACATGTGTAAATTCAGCCCTCAGACCTCAAAAACAACAGAAACGGTAACTAGCATCCTCTTTAGGTCCTTTCAGTTTCCATCTCCAGCTTGTTGTCTGAGCTGCTAGAATTGGACAAGGGAACACCCTTGGTAGGGTTTTCCCCAACTTAATACCAAGACCTGTGTATTTTACCTTTCCCATCCCAGTTGAAATATTTAAAACAAAATAACAGTAGAAACAACCGCCTCACCCCCTAAAACGGAGACAGGACAGAGGAGTGTATGCACATGTTTGTTTCGAGTTGTTTCTGAAAGATTTGGGTAACTTGAAATTATTTAATCGTGCTTAATTTCCTGTAGGGGGAGGGGAAATTTCCATCATAATTTGAGACAAGTGGCAGTTTTGCCTCTGGCAGATTTAAATGAGAAAAGTGAATGCTGGGATGCTAACCAACCGCATGAATGCACATCTGTGCCCATAGCCTTAATCAACTTCTTTGTTTGGTTTCTTTTTTTCTTCTTGCGGCTGTAGCAGCCTCAGTGACGCCAGCCCACAGGATGCAGTGACATTTGTTGAGAGCAAGGCCCACACACTTTCTCATTTAAATTGCTGTAAAGGCTCCAGCCTCGGGTTTCCCTGGTGGCGCAGTGGTTGAGAGTCCGCCTGCCGCTTGCAGGGAACACGGGTTCGTGCCCCGTGTCCGGGAAGATCCCACATGCCGCGGAGCAGCTGGGCCCGTGAGCCATGGCCGCTGAGCCTGCGCGTCCGGAGCCTGTGCTCCGCAACGGGAGAGGCCACAACAGTGAGAGGCCTGCGTACCGCAAAAAAAAAAAAAAAGAAAAAGAAAAGGCTCCAGCCTCTTGTGAATGACCACACAGAAAAGGGCCTCATCCTTAGAATGAAGTGATCCCCAGATTTAGAGCACAAGTTTATTAAGTTTTTCTACCTATGTATGTTGATAATAGCCGCCTGCGATTCCTCTATTATGCCTCCCTCTCTATGGATTCCTTACTCTGCTTCCTTATGTCTCTCCTCTCTTCTCTAGCACTTTAATCCATCTCATACTCAACTCAAAGAAGGCCAAAAATGAGATTTTTAAAAAACAAATAGTTATCCAGTAAATTAATAAAATATTGATATAAGCCAGGGATGACTGAAATTGCCCAGTAGGTGTATTTTATTTCCCCCCTACACACACAGACAGTTCTTAAAAAATTATTTTTTGAATTTAAATGCCTTTGGACTTTGCACATGCTTACCAGTTTGCCACCATCCTCACCATTCTCTGTTGTATCCCACACCTATCCTCCTTCATGCATTTATATTACTGGCCGGTTTTTAGAGTCAGTCTGGTTCCTTTTCGAATTCCAAGGCTTTTTCAGTCTGCCCTCCTTGGGAATCTTCTGTGTGCAGTTTAGAATTCTAGAGTATTACGAAAGACATGGCTACTTTGTAGATGTTTACAATCAAATGGGAGGAGTTGTTAAAGCAAATGAAAGGTATAAATCCAGTACTCATAAATCCAGTAACTCATCCAGAAAGCAGTTAAAGAACATTAGAGTTGTACTCATCGCTGGGAATGATATATGATCCCAAACAGTAAATCTTACAAATGTACAAAGGGATACAGTAAGTTTTGTGTGTAACCTTGCAAATTTTGCTTGGGTAGTTGATTCTGACTAATGGAGCTTTAGCCTGTTAGTTCATAGGGTCCTTGGAGCTGTAAGATGACTTGATAATGGGTCCTTTATATCCATGTTCTCAAGTGTCAACCTTCCAGTTCTTTCCATGTTTCTTTCCGTATTCCCCCTCTTTAGGGGGGAATGTCCATAGGATGGCTTCAGTTCTCATTTGGGCTATGGACACATCTGTCTGTGGAATTCTCCTGACTGTTGGTAGTAAAATTGGAAGACTGTAATTGTTTCCTCTTTGAATACAACCCTCTCTTTTTTTCCATTTTCCAGCAGATATATGGAGTGATCACTCCTTTCAGACTGATCCAGATTTGCCACCTGGCTGGAAAAGAATCAGTGACATCGCTGGGACCTATTATTGGCACATACCAACCGGGACGACTCAGTGGGAACGCCCTGTCTCCATCCCAGCAGATCTCCAGGGTTCTAGGAAAGGGTCCCTTAGTTCTGTAACGCCATCTCCCACCCCAGAGAACGAGGTAAAATGGAGTGTCTTTTTGATGGCCTAGTAGAGTGGATGTAACTTGTGATTTCTCCTTAGACTCATTGCTTCTGCCCCAACAGGTCATCAAGGTAAGCTTTTGATTTTCATGCATGTTGCATTTGAAACCGAAATGCTTCCTCTTAGTGAATAGTGTTAATACCATCTTTCAGGGATGTTTTCATTTTTTTAATGGCTTTTGGTCTCTTGAAACACCATTTCAGGTACAGAAAGTAAGAGAGGCTGATTAATGAGAAGTGGTTAAGATTCCCTGGGGCTCACTGAGGCAGTAATTTACTCTGTAGGTGCTGTTGCATGGTGCTGGTTCCATAAAATATTTACACACAGAAGAATGCCTCTTGGCCAGATGTGTTATAATTACTGCATATCTTATTAATATCCGTGGGCTCATTTGACTGCATGGAGAGAATGTCTGCAGGAATAACCCTTGAGAGCCCTTAAATGCTTAATTTCTAATAAAAAAAAAAAAAAGAGGATCTGTTTATTTAGCAGAAGTGACATTGTTTTAGAAGTAATTAGCAGTATAAATTTGTTCTGTCCCTGAGGATGAAATCTGATGTTTAAACAAAGAACTGAGGCATTAAAAAATTCCATCGTGGTATTTACTAATACAAAAATCCCTGCAGTGAATCCTGATAACTAAATATTCAAGAGAATTAACAGTGGGAAAAGGTTAGAGTTATGTAATGGCTTTGCTGGAGAAAAGAAGTTTCATTCCTAACACACGGGCACTTCTGCCTTTTTTTGATCACAGTCTTCTGCTCTTTAAACAACTCATTTTCTTTTACTTTGAGGACATGGAAGGAATTTGAACTGCGTCTCTTACCCCAAAGTTTCTCTACATATTTGCCGCTATTATCACCCTTCCTGTCTTTGAAAGTAAACAACATCTTCCATTATTTACTTGCTCTTCTCTGGGAGGCAGGAAGACCTACATTCCAGCCACATTCCTGCTTTTACTGGGCTTCGGCATCTCACCCCACCTGGGCCTCAGATTCTCCATCTTTCAAGTGATGGGTTGAGGCGGGCTATAGGCCCCGTTGATAGACCAGGGCCTTGGTTTGTTGGTATTGGCCCTGATGATCAGATATGTGCTTCAGTTCCACTGAATCACTTAGGATTTTGTTGCTTATCACTGGGTGATTTTGATAACTTTTTATTAGCATAATATTCCTCCTCTCAGGGCACATCCCATTCAGTCGATTTATTCACCTTATGTGAGGTGTGCTGGGGGATAAAGATGAACCAACACAGGCTGCTCCTCGTGGAGCTCAGCATGAAGTGGAGCCCTCTTCCATTCCGGCCCAGTTACCTCTTGGCATTTCTCCCTGGACTGCAGAGTGGCCTCCCAGGGGCTGAGCGGGCCAGGACGCCCCTGCGCTCTCACTGAGGCACAGAAGCCCCTCTTTCTTCTTCACCTGTACTGCTTGGCTCTCGGCATCTCTGTTAGAATCTTTCTCCATTCCAGGGCTCCATCCCCCTTATTGTAACCCTTTACCATCTTCACCCCCAGGGAGTGCCCTGCAACCAGAGAATGCCCGGTTGGGAAGGGGGCAATGGCACCAGTATCTGTCCATTACAGACAGGGAAACCGAGGCACAGAGAGGCCAGTGACCAGCAGCCACGCTGGCTCTAGAACGCAGGGTTCCCGAATCCTCCTTGAATTACAGGTCAGAGTTCTTCTCACTTGGCTTCCCTGGCTCTGAGATCTCAGCCTACCGGCTTTCTCTTGGTCCAGAGGTGAGGAGATCAGACTAACTTTGAGATACCATTTCTGTTCAATGAATCTCTTGTCCTCTGTATGTGGAAGAAATGAAGTTTGTCTCGGAGCCCACCTCCTGAGGCCGAGGCGTGGGTGGGGTGCAGCCCAAGGAGGGCATCCCGAGGTTTATGTGGCTCGGATTTTTACTTCTTTGATTAATATGGTAGACTTTCACTTTCATGTTTTCTGTGAAAAGTCTTAGGAAGAACGCAGCACAGGTGGGCTGCTGGCCCTGGGGATAATTATTGGGAAGCAGAGTCCTCTTCTCATCCCTGAGCCACCTTCTGATGCCCACTGTTGCCTGCTCTGCCCCGTCCATGCCTGCTTCCACCCCCCTCCCGCTCACTGCCTAGCCCCCCTTCCCAGGCTCCGACTGTGTCCTATGACCGCCTGGCCTCACTTGCTCTCCTGGAGTTCAGTGTTTCCATCACATCCCCACTGGTCAGCCTCCCAGCTGCTCTTCATGACTTTTTGTGGCTTTCAGGGTATTTTCATAAACATCACTTCATTTGTCCCCTTCAAGACTCTTCACGCAGCAGAGATGACAGCTATTATGTTTACCATTTAAGAGAAGAGGTAACCGAGGCTCAGCAAGTTGAGTAACCAGGCAGGTGGCGTCAGGGTGGCAGGATGGTTCTGTTCCTCCCTTCTGTTGCCATCGTGTTGGACAAAGCCTTATCCCTCCAAGAAACATGGTAACAAATGTGTAGTTTTTTGAAGTTTCAGAGAGAGACCCATTTCCAGCTCTTTATTTTTCTTTATTAATTCTATTTATTTATTTTTGGCTGCGTTGGGTCTTCATTGCTGTGTGTGGGCTTTCTCTAGTTGCGGCGAGCAGGGTCTACTCTTCGTGGCATTGCCTGGGCATCCCATTGCGGTGGCTTCTCTTGTTACGGAGCACGGGCTCTAGGCACATGGGCTTCAGTAGTTGTGACTCGTGGGCTCTTGAGCGCAGGCCCAGTAGTTGTGGTGCACAGGCTTAGTTGCTCTGTGGCATGTGAGATCTTTCTGGACCAGGGATTGAACCCGTGTCCCCTGCACTGCCAGGCGGATTCTTAACCGCTGAGCCACCAAGGAAGTCCCCCAGCACTTTAAATAGACCAATGGGATAGATGTTCTTTGGATCAACCTTTCGGTTGTTTGCTTCATGTACATTTTTTCCCCTGAACATCAGACCATCCACTAAGTCAAAGAACCAAGCAGATTTAAAAGGCAATACATTAAAATCCTAGGGGCAAAGGGATGAGCAGATAGGTAGAGAGGAGAGGAAGGGGAGAGGTGGGGGAAGACACAGACTGCTACGTTCCCAGGCCTGGCAGGTGCTGACACGGATATTAAAGCAGAAGCACTAAGGGTAATCGAGTGTTTAGAGCACCAGCTTCATGCCTTGTCTCCTTACTCCTCATAAAACCCTACGCATCTGTACGACAGTTGTCATTACCTTCTTACATTTGACAACGCACACAGAGAGGTGAGGGAGCTTGCCCAGGATCACACACCTAATACCTAGTGGAGTCACGCCTGAATGGAGGTCTGCTGGCCCCTGCCCCTGCCCCTACCCCAGGTTTCACTATGTGTGTATGGAGGCTTGGAGAGCCTTGAATGGCTTCATCTCACTCCAGGGGAGGGCGGTGACATATGCAGCACCTTCTAGAAGATGACTTCTCTTGATAACATTGTCTCAGGTGCTAATACCAGTTGAAGAGAAATGATTATATCTTTGATGCCATTTCTTTGGTCCCTAAATAGAATCTGTTTTGACTAATTTGGAAACATGAGAGAAAGCAAAATGTTAAGGGCGAGAAGAAACTTGTAATATGTTGCGTTAGAAACTCATATTTTACACAGATTTTTCCTGAGCTGGCTTTAAAAAAAAAAAAAAAAAAGTAAGTGCCAAATCTGTTGACTCAGCTTCACAAAAGTTTAGGACGGAAGGCTTCCTTACAGTTTGAAAATTTTACATTTCACATTCCAAAGTTCACCAGGGAAGTGTTAGGCGCAGCACATAATGTTCCCTCTGCATACGCCCGCAGTATTTTTTGAAAGTTTATAAACTGGCCGGGAAGCATTTGCTGCTGAAATTTGGCCCAAAGATGATCTCCCCCCAGTCCATCAGTTTGTTCCAGGTTACTTAGATGTTGAATTTTAGAGAGAAGAGGGAGCTACACAAAATATTGTAATGAATAACTATTGGCCCATAAGCAAGCCTTACTTAGAATCCTTCCAGCAGAAGGTGTTTCCGAGTTCCTTAAGGATAAGAGTATGGAGGACCAAGTGGGTCTGGAGCAAGGGAAGGTCGAATTGTTTCTCAGGACCGTGATCTCTTCTTAATCACAGTTCACTCTGTTCTTGCTGCATTGCCTCTGGAGTCTGGGAGGGGCCTGAGCAGCTAACTCCCCAGGAGGGGCAAAACCCATGTATTGTATTAGAACCTACGGATTTTCACATACATTTCGAAATAAGATGACAACATAAAGGGGCCAGTCTGTCATCATTTTACTGAAATTCTTGACCTGATCAAGTAATCATGACATTTTAGAGCTGGCAAGAACCTTTGAGAAGGGCTTAGTGAATGCTACGGCAGTATTTCTCAGCCTGGGAGCCAAGGATGGTGGCTAGGATGTCCTCTGGGGCAGGGCCTGAGAATCTGCCTTTATCATAAGCGTTGCAGGAAATTCTGAGTGAGTATAAGAGCTGGTCTTCTAGCAAATCCAGTCTCCCTGTTTTTATTTATATGTCACTTCCCCTTCAATTCTTTGGCTTCCCCCTAGCATCTCCTGGGAAGGATTGTTCTCACCCGTCTGCTTTGAAAGCCCTTTAACCTTTATTCCATTGTGTCTCTTTATAGTATTCTTACTTGAGGCACGTCCGCCTCCCTTTTGGGGGGTGTCGGGACCTGCCCCCCTCGTCTTGTATCCTCGGCACTTGGCACAGTGCCTGGTACGTGTCAATGTTCATTAAATGTTTGCTGAATGAAGGAATAGACCAGCTTTGTAGCGGAGGGAGCTCTTAGTTGACTTGCTGTAGCGGCAGAGCCAGCACTAGAGACCCAGGTCTCCTGATTCTCCTCTAGTTTCTAAATAGTGCTACTGCTGACAGAGACTAATTTAATTGCACAAGCATTTGTCAGTTTGTCTTCCAGTTAGATTCTTTTTTTTAACTTCTCTGGATTTTATTTGCATGATAAACCATAACTGTTCATTTGATAGTGTTGCATCCAGCAAAACACGGAAAGCAGTTTTAAAAGAAGGAAAAAATATACACACATATATGGATACAGTGCTTATTAACATTGACTGGCCTATTCCTTGGAATTCCAGAATTCCAGGTACTCTGCCGTTTATCATCAAGGCTACACATACCAAGGCTCAAGTCTTGACAAAAGAGGATTACGAACCATAACTCATAACCCTTTGTAGTCCCTAGGCTCTCAAACTTTTTATTCTTGCAAATGCCTTAGTAGAGATAAGGACACTGCTATTCCTGGGCACTTTCAGGCAGCCAGCCCCTGGGCTAAGGGCTCATGTTCTTGACCTCACTGTGTCCACACGCTGGTGGGAAGTCTTCTAAGATCCCAGAAGAAAAATATGGAAGAAGAAAACTCTCAGTAGTCAAGGTTATACAGTCAGATTGATTCCCCTAGTAGGTCATGAGGGTGCCATGCTGAAAGGTCATGAAGGGTCATGGCAGGTGCCGTGCTCCAGGCGCTGGGTCAGTCCCCACTGTCTCTGAGGAGCTAGGGCTCCAGGGCTCTCGAGAACCTGAATGTCATCACCGTAATCAGGATAAGGGGTGCTGCAGCCTGGCCAAGGTCAAGACAAGCACCAGGAGGGTGTGTCCCCAGCCATAACTCTGATGCCACCATCTCTCAGCTGTGCAAGGCTTTAGCTGCATTGCCTGAGAGATGACCGATTGGAGGTTGTTACCCATGGAAGATGGTCCCTGTTCGTCCTCTACTCTCCTTTACCTCTCTTTGTGTCTGTCTTCCCTGGGGCATGTTGCTCGCCTGCCTTTTCCTCTTTCATTGTCTTTCTCTTTGTCTCTTCTTTCATCTCTCACTCCCATCACCCAGACTGCAGACTCTGTACAACCCAAGCATCTGTGTTGGTGTCTTTTTTCTTTAAATTATTAGCTAAAATGTTGTATTCTCTCTTCTTATTTAAAAAATAATAATAGATGAATAGAATATATCGTTCTTAACATTTAGGACAAACGGTTTTTGTCCTTCATTGCCCTTGACTTTTAAAAAAAATAGTCACTTAAATGGAGGAGAAAGTTTATCATCTTCGATGTCAATGAAAATTTTAAACATGGGAAGGAAAAAAGGTCTTTGGCCTGTTCATAGCATGTAATGTTAGTTTCCATTTTTATTTGCTTGAGTTTTGTGCTAAAGGGTTTCTTCAGGAATACTTATGTTATTTTAAGGTTTTGCAAAATCACTGTATAGGGCCTTTGTTTATTTAAATCTGTAAAAGGTGATTGTTGGAAGTTTGCCAGCTGACTCTCTGTAGCATGAGAGCTAGATCCATGCAGTCTCAGAACTATACTCAACTTTTACTTTACAGGGACTCCTACATCCAGAGAGTAAATACATAAAAAAATTTAAACACACACGTATAGAGAAGTGTTTGATAAAATGCCAAAGCCTTTTCTGAATACTTGTTTTAAAAAGTGCTCTTCTTTCACTCTTTGTAGTCCTAACACAGTGTCTTTTGGGTATAATTTCTGATATCAGGTTCCCTTCGTCAGACACACATGCCTTTTTAAAAATGTCTTCACAAGAGCACAATCATCTTGAATCTTCCTAATTCACCATCTGGTTACATTTTCAAAGTTCAACCTAAATGAAAACCAAATAATGCTCACGTGTAAATGATGATGACAATTTGGGACCAAATAGGCTTGTTTTCTTTTTTAAAAAGAAATTTTAGCTTAAAATTTTATTTTGTACTTGATATTTCCAGTCCTTATCATGAGTGTTTATTAATCCCCCTATGATGGTAACTCTGAACATTTTTCGGTCACTGGCCCTTCTGAGAACAGAAAAGTTGGGGATAAAATGCACTTGCACAAAACCCCACATCCATTTCAGGGGGTTCATAGGTCACCACAGCTGACAGGTTAAGATTTTCCTGTAATATTTTCTCCTCAGTAAAAGCTGAACACTGCTTTTGGGGATGGAGTGAGGAAAGAGGTGAGGGGCTGGACAGCATTCCTGCTCTGTGCTCAGTAAAAGAGATTATTTTAAAAAAATAAACAACAGTGGTCCAAGGTCTGTTTTAGTTTGAAAAACTGCAGGTTGGGTGCCTAGTCCAGCAAAGAAAGCAACAATGACACCAACTGTGTAGAAGTGATAATGGATCCAGATTTGCAATGACCATGCCCTCAGAGAGCCCTTCAGAGCCAAATAAATGCATTTTTCAACACCTGGGACATTTGATCTTCGCTGCTTCTTGCTTTGAGTGGCTTTAAAAATTGTATTGTGTGCAGAAGTTATGGGTCAGTACTACCGTCTCATTTTCAAAGAACTTTAGTTGTAAAGTTACTTAGTGGAAAAGTTTCTCTTATTGATTTATTATTCAAGAAAAGAGATTTTCCTGACAAGTGGAACAAGTTCATAAGGATGAGCTTTATGGGTGTCTTGTTAGTATCATTTATTTCCCCAAATGTCACGTGAAAAATATTTGAATATTCAGTCAATATAGTAGAAAGAAAATAAATGTTTCCGTTGTTGTCCGAGGTGAATAAAGGAAGGAGTTGTTTAGATTCGAAGGTCTATCGTCAGAGGTTGCCCAGCAAGGCAAGGCTTTGCACTTTGTTCTATAACTATGTTTAGAAAAGCATTTCGTGATCGAATATTAATTTGTGAAGAGGCTTGGGTGGCAAGGAAGTAGAGTTTTCTATGAACAAGAGGAATTTACATTAGATTGTCTAGAGCTATTTTTTATTAGATTAAATCTCAGCAAGATGAGGTCAGGCTGCGTCCTTTGCCCTCCATCATTGCCTTTTTTTTCTTTTAAGTGAAAATAATTTGGCCCCCAGCTTTTTTATGCCCTTAGCCATGGACATTCCCGTTTCCATCCAGCACATTGACAAGCATCATCCCTAATTCCACCTCCACCTCAAGAAAACAGTTCTGTTTGGTTAATAGGAGAGAAAAAGGTGCCTGTGAAATTAGGTACGCTGGGCATTTAATACTTTGATACATAGTGTGTGCTTTTAAGACCACATTTAGAAAGCATCGATAACTTCACTGTGTGGTAATAACGTTCAGCCATTTGTTTTGGTAAGTAATTAAAGCGCCCTCTCTTTCCTCCTGCCCTAGGCCTCAGGTGTTGATCTAGATCAAGGGAGAGCAAGCTCACATGCTGCCGTTAGAGTGAATTTGTTCCCTAACCCATCCTGTGAATATCAATGCTAACAACAGTGTCTTGTGTGTGTGTGTGTGTGTGTGTGTGTTTTCTTTTTTTTTTCTTTCCTTTTCTATCCTTTATTATTTTTTCTTTCTTTCTTTCTTTTTTTTAAATCAATGTGCTTTTTCCTTGTGAATAATTATATGTCTAGAAACAGCCATGGAGTGATTTTGCTGTTCTGAATGGGGGAAAGATTAATAGTGACATTTGGAAGGCAAGTATATTGTCAGATTTTAGCTCATTTAATATTTTGTCCTTTTTGCATGGCTGTGGCTGCATCTTCTTTGTGAATATCATGCATTCTGCAGGGACGGAGTGATGGGGCTTCTGGCTAGGGCTGTGGGACTCACACGTGTCGCCTTTTTTGATGTCTCCCATTGTGAATGACTTCAGGCTGATTGCCCCAGGTTCCTGTTGTCTTATAAGAAGCGGCACTTGCACCAAACCGGCATCAGCAGCCCATGCATGCCTTTTTCTGCCTAAGCTCACATACACTCTCTGCCTCGTGCTGGGAGGACTTCTCTCCCCTTTGATATTTGAGGCCATGTAATGGGTCATTCCCCTTTCTACATTAACAGGGATCTCTTTTCCTCTAGGATTTGCATGCAGCCACAGTCAACCCGGACCCCAGTTTAAAAGAGTTTGAAGGAGCCACACTGCGCTATGCATCCTTGAAACTCAGGTAGGGCATTCAGAGCACCTGCCGTAATGAGTGGTTTTGTGCAGCTAGAGATTGCAATCGAGTTCTAAGTCCAGTTTTCTGTTTTTCTTTCTAGAAATGCCCCACATGCTGACGATGATGATTCTTGTAGTATCAACAGTGACCCAGAAGCTAAGGTTTGTAAGAAAGTGCTTTCAGCGACCAGGTTAATATTCTTGCATCAAAATAATGACTTTGGATAACGGCCCAGTTTTTTACAAACCATCAACCCAGAGCCACTTAATAAGGAATTAGTCCTCAGTCCTCTCTCTTTCCTAATCTCCCCAACAATTAAAGTAAACCCCTCGGCCAAGTTAGGTTTGGGAGGATTTCTGTAATCATCACGACTCTGCTTGTATCTCACTACCTCAGTTCTTTGTGCATCGCAATAAGTTAAAATTATCGTTCGAACAGGTGGGCTTCAGAAGCCTTTGAAGATAAGCCAGGCTCTGCCTTGCAGTGCCATGGGAGGGGCGGTGAACAGGTGCCACAGACCCCTCACACCCACCTCCTCCAGGGCAGCCTCGCACCTGTGCAAAGCGAAAGTTCCTCCTCATTCCTGTCCTAAACACAGGCCTGTTTCATGGTGGGGAACCAGCAGGACCAGCTGACGGGTATGCGACCAGTACAGTTGCACGGGGCCCTGAGCGGAGAATCAGGGCCCCGTGTTTTTCTGTGCAGTTGCTCTCTTGATGTTCTGCATACTTTTATCTTTGACTCTGTGCTCTGTAGATGAAGTGCAGTGGGGCAACGGAGTGTGCCCCGGGGGGTTGGAGCCTTGGCTTACGCACAGTCCTGCCACCTCCCTACCTGCGCAGTGTTTCTCAGCTGCCCGTTCCCCTGCTGCTTGGCACCTCAGGCCCTGCCACCCTCCCCATCCCTGCCCCCCACCCAGCAGTTACTGTTGCCTTCCACCCCTGTAGGGGGCTAGGTGTGAGCCTGGGGAGAGTTGATGCCAGGTACACAAACTCCATGGTGTCCCAGGAGGGGACAAAGTAGTGGCCCGCCCAGCTCAGGCGGACAGCACAACAGTGAGTTCGCGGGTGACTCAGTGAGGCCCCGCCCACTCCCAATCCAGGTACCTAGCGTGTCCCGGCACAGGTGTTGCAAACAGAGGGTCATCCATTTGCTGTGGGCTGGGGTGGTGAGTCCACGGGAAAGGGGGATTCTTGGCTCAGTTTCCCCACCCCTGGCCAGGACGTGGTGCATCGGCCTAGCAGCTGATGGTCTGTAGTGGTGGGCAGCCTGTGATGGTCTGCACTCACCCTGTAAGTATCCCCGTGCCCGAGAGAGGGTGACATTAAATGACAAGCAAAAAACACCGTTAGGAGTTGAGAGAGAGAATGCAGAAGAAAGGATAAAGCTTCATGTCTTAATACTTTTTACAGCTTTTCCCCCCCTGCTTTTTGAACATGGGGCCATGTGTTTTCATTTTGCATATTTCATTTTCATTTGCAAATTATATAGCTGAACCTAGATATTTTTCTGAATCCCAAAGTAGATATCTGTCTACGAATAAAACAGCAGATAGGTTCCTGTAGCAATAGTTAAGTGGGGAACACCGTGCAGGTTCAAAACCTTGGCTCCCTGGCCGGAAGCTGCCACATTGCCATTGGTTCTGTAAGAATCCCAGGGCCTCTCCGTTGCTCCTAGTTTGCTCAACTTCCTTCTAAGCACAGCCTGATCAGGTTAAGGCTGCTCCAGAGCCAGCGGTGCTCTGAACAAGTTCTTGGTTGGCCTCTGACACCCTGGCCTTTAAAGATAAATCTTATGGCAAGGAAGGGAAGGGACCTAGTAAAACAGGAAGGCAGGCTGTGAATAATTTGCTTTGCTACCAAGTGTTTTATAAGGGCTATCAGCAAAGACTGGAGGAGGAAGGGCAAGCAGCAGCAATATTTTTCTCCACCCGGAAGGGCTGGGCCAGTGATGCCTGTAAAGCTGAGTGTGAAATTGACAAGAGTGGGCCGGAAGGGTGATGCATGGAACGGAGATTGAATGGGTAGCAGGAATTGGAGGTAATTGAGCTATTACCTAAGAGGGTGCTTTCTCTTTTTCCCCCTCAGTTGTATTGCTTACTGAATTCTTGATCTACCACTGTTCTATTCCAACGTGTCTATTCTAGCACCTATTAGGAATTTGTTTATGTTAATAAGGAGGCTCAGCTTCCTTAGAAGTAACTAAAGTTGTACTTAGTTCTAAACAAAAGAGCATGTGTATTGTATTATTTATTTTTTATCCTTCTTTGTTCTATAAAAGATCTGAGGAGACTTATGAAAGCACTTACAAGCCACAGAAAACATAAGGGAAGAATCAGTGCATCTGTCTGTACTGGGACAGTACATGGAGTTAGGACAGATCAGACTGGGGAGAAGGAAAAAGCATAGGACTTTTTTTCAGAGCATAGGACTTGGCATAGTTAAGAAAATTGACCTTTGGGTCCATTTTTGTACCTCCAGGTGATTATTTATACTGAGGACTCTTATGGTAAATGGCATGAATTCCTGTAAGGACATCTCAGAATCTTGAAAAAACCTCTGCAAACTACACGTGCTTCTAACTGCCCCCATCCCACCCTAGATTCTGAAGGTGCCCTGTGCTATAGAAAGTCACTGTCACTCTTGAGGACCCTAAGTCTGTTGGGAGGGGAAAAGGGTCTCAGAACCCTGCTTTCTATGAATCACACTGTGCATGAGGTAAAAGCATCTCAGTTCCTTATGGAATATAATGGTTTTTCTAGTGCTCTGTTATAAAATAATTGTAATAATGAATATTTATTGAGTGCTAACTTTTTGCCCAGCTTAGTCCTAAAGACTTCATTGCTGTTGACTCTCACCCTCACAGAAATTCAAGGGGCTGACTGTCATTATTGCAGGTGAGGAAAATGAGGCATAGAAGGTTGCACAGCTACTTAACTAGTAGAGTCAGGATTTGAATCCAGGCCATTTGGCTCCAGAGCCCATGCTCACTAGACTGTCCAAAGAAAGGTCTCCCTTGGAGCTTCATTCAGGGGCCACCATCGATCAATGTGATCAGTGTGCTCAACAATACTCCAAATTTATGTAAAGACACATAGAAGTTTGGATCTTGCTCATTGGAAGCAAAGGACAAACCCATTTCAAGTAAATTGGTGGAGGATTATGACAGCGTGGACCAGCTTCCTGGTCTGACTTGAGGCAGAGATGAACCCTAGACTCTAGAAGTGGAACGGATGGGCTGCAGGTTTTTTCAGACCATCCCTCAGTGGCGTAAGTTCAACCAGGCTTATGATAAAAGTTGGGCCAGAACAGGAGGAAGCGGGGGCTGGAGTGGAGCTCATCTGTGTGTCTGGCGATTGGCCGAGCTGCCCACTTGAGATACCCCACACAGACGGCATCCCTTTGGGGAAATTGAGTCTCGCTGTCCTTCTCTGGAGGCAAGTCTCTCCACCTCCTGATGGAAGTGGGCCAAGGGAAAGCCTGCAGGGAAGGCTAAGGTGATCCTTCGATGCTGTTTCCAACAGCTCTAAATGAAATTGTTTTTTACAAATTTGGAACAAGTCCATTGGTTTAGAGCTGACTTTGATGAGGCCACTTTGGAGGTATTCCCCATCGCCACCACCCTCTGGCCTCCCCCATCTGCCCCCTTAGTCACTCCTCGCCTGTTTAATGCTGCCTGGGGCACCTAAGCAGGCAGAAGTGACAGGATCTAGGTTCCCAGATGTTCAAGCTTTTGATAGATCTAAAGATATCTAAAGGGTATCTTTAGTTAACCCTTTCCATTCTTTCAATTTGCGAAGGACTCAGGAACTGAGTGCCCCGCAAAGAAGCAGAAGGTATCCTTTCTTTAGGAAACAAAAATATTTAATTTCATGTACGATGGAATTCTAAATATAGTCCCCGAGGAATGATTACTAAAAAGATTACTATAGAAAATGTCTTCCTTACTCCCTCAATGAAACTTAGATGCTGGAAAAATAAAAGTCATTTTTGGACTATCAGGATATGAATCCTTCAGAACTCTCCCCAGCCACTCTGAGTCAGAGCATCTTGATAATCAGTTGTCCAGTGAAACATCTAAGTAGCAAAATAAATGAACTCTTCCCCCCACGCCACCCCACTCCTGCAAAGGCAAAGTATTTTTATAACTCTGACAGTGTTTTATGAGCCTGCCTAACTTTATATACAGTAAATATTTTTTTAGTTGATTGCAGTATGTGCATGAGTTTGTATATAATTCTGAGCTCTTTAACTTTTATTTTAAAATAATTATAGATTTACAGAAAAGTCACAAAGATATTGAGTTCCCATATACATTTCCCTAATAGTAACATCTTCATAATCACGGACAATTATCCAAACTAAAAAATTAATATTGATACCGTATTATTAACTAAAATAGGCTTTATTCATTCACATTTTCCCATCTTTTCCACTAATATCCTTTTCAGGACCTAATCTAGGATACTACATTGCATGTACTGAGCTCTTAAAAAACTACTTCACGTATTCCTTTCCACAATTCTCAGATTTATCGTTCTTAATTCCATTATAATATTCCATTTAATTAATAGCACCATAATCTGTCTAGGCACCCAGTGGCCATAGGAACAATTTCCAGTACTACAGGGCAGAGCTACAACTTCATAAAAATAGGTGGCTTTTTTTCTTTTAAATCATTGCTTTGGTACAGGTTGCTAAAACGATATTACCGTGTCAAAGGCTATGAACTTATGGCTTCTGTCATTTATTGCAAAACTGCTTTTCAGAAAAGGCTACGGCGGCATATAATTCCATCTGTAATACCCTAGAAGACACGTTTATCCACTGCCCATTATTCTTTAGGCTTTGTCATTTTTACTTATTTACCTTATTTTATTGCATGTGAGCTACTACCTCCTACTTTAAAATTTCCCCCTCTTAAATTATCATCAACATAGGACATTTGTTTTGGTAGGTACAAAACCCTATGTTTATTATGAAACTCCGTGTTTCTGTCCTTTCCTGGCTGTCTTTTGCCCTTATTTTTCTATGCATTTTTTAAATAAAAATTTTATTTTGGAATAATTTTGGATTTACAGAAAAGTGACAAAGATAGTACAGAGAGTTCCTGTATACCCATCACCCAGCTTCCCCCAAGGTCCTATCTTACATAACCATAG